TGGTTGTGGTAATGACAACAGGGTACAAAATCGAATTGGGTTTTACAGGAGGTATTGCGGAATTCTTGGAGTTAGTACTGGTGACAATCTTGATTGCAGCAACTAAAGGTCTTTTGGCAGCTAATTTTATGTAATAACTTCATTATATGTTTTGTTGTATTCTCGCACAATGCGAAGATCAACGATAAAATGAAGTTATAATAATATGATTGTAGTTTGATTAGTACCATGGCTATATATATAGTCGTGTTCAATAAATAATAAAGATTTTTATCATAAGATACGTATATCTTAATAAAGTCCACAAGCATTAAGTTCCAACTTCAAAAACCAAATCAATGTGCACGTAGTTATAATTCATTTGGTAACCACTTGTACAACTTCAAGAACCAAATCAGTGCTATATCATAACACAAAAGATTATATAAACCTTAGCCTCCAAGAAGGTTCCTCTCTAATGCCAGCTAGTTTACCAGTAACAAAGCTAGCTTCTATATAGAAGTGATTAATATATATATATATATATATATATATATATATATATATATATATATATATATTCAATTTTTGTGTGCTATGTCCGTCATCTTTTTTGGTGATTCGGAATTTTGAGATCATTTTTGCCAAAAATTACCATGGACGTTCATTAAGCCCTAATCTATGGAGACGATTGGTCATCACTACAGACAAAACGGGTCATTTTCAAGGTCAAACAAGCCCCAGAGCAAGTAAACCCACCCACCCCCACCCCCACCCCATTTTGACGATTTTCGTGTGCTATAGTCCACCATTTTTTTTTGGTGATCTTGAATTCCAAGATCATTTTTCCCAAATATTTACTTGAACGTCAATTAAAACCTTATCTATGGAGCTGGTTGGTCACCACAAAAATGACTCATTTTCAAGGTCAAACGAGCCCAGAGCAGGTAAACCCTCCCATTATGTCGATTTTCGTGTGCTATAGTCCATAGGATTTTTTGTTATCCGGAATTTTTTGCCAAAAATTTACAGGAATGTCCGTTAAGACCTTATCTATAGATCCAGATGGTCACCACGGCCAAAAAGGGATCATTTTCAAGGTCAAACGATCCCTAGAGCAGGTAAAACCCCTAATTTGATGATTTTCATGTGCTATAGCCCATATCATTTTTGATGATCAGGAATTTCGAGATCACTTTTGCCAAAAAATTGCATGGACGTTTGTTAAGACCTTATCAATAGAGTAGATTGGACACCACGGCTAAAATGGGCCATTTTCAATCTCAAATGACCCTAAAGCAAGTAAGAACCTCATTTTATCGATTTTTATGCACTATAGTCCACTATCTTTTTTAGTGATCCAAAATTTTGAGATTATTTTTGTCAAAAATTTACATGGATTTCTTCAAGACATTATCTATGGACCTGGTTGGTCTCCACACCTAACACAGTCTATTTTAAAGGTCAAATGAACCCCATATCATTTAAATCCCCTATTTTGTTTATTTTCGTGTGCGATAAGTCCATGAGATTTTTACTGATCCAAAATCCCAACATCTTTTTTGATGAAAATTTACATGGACGTCTGTCAAGACCTTATCTATGGAGTCGGTTGGTCACCATGGTCAAAACGCTCCATTTTCAAGGTCAAACGAGCCCTAAAACATGTAAACCCCCTATTTTGTAAATTTTCATGTGTTATAGTCGACAATCTTTTTTGGTGATCCAGATTTCCAAGATCATATTT